CCGGGGCGGGGCTGAGGTAGCCGGTGGTGGCCACCTGCCGGCACGCAGCTGCCCCAAGCACACGGAGCGAACCTGGAGGCTGTACTTCACGTCAGCGGTTTGGTGTCGGGATGGTAAGCCGTTCGGCTTTTCGGGGTCTGGTGGCGACTGGAGGATCCGGTGGTTTTGGTGTATCCAGGTCTGCTTGCGTAGATCAGTGTTACCCGGTGGGCTTTGGTCAGGGAGCTTGGCATGATGTACTGAATGTTTGGAATGTGTTCATGATGTCCCTGTCTCCAGTCAAAGGCATGCTTAGCATATGCTATTTGTCTTTTCCTTGTTTAGTATTTCTCAGTAAATCTCCTGTTGTGTATATTGGTAAATTAACCATCCAAAGATCTGAGTTGCCAGTAGGCAGAGCTGCCTTTCCTGAAACAATGAACGGCCTGTCTTGTGTGTCCCGGTGTGTATATAGAGACTATACACCACGAGCTCAGGGGTAGTGGAAGCTGCATTTCTGCCATGCCAGAAGCACTGCAGAATACACGTTTAGCTCTGACCTGTTGGTGTAATGAGGTAGTTGGCTCGTGTAACTTTATGACTTGAGAAGCTTTTTTGAATAATGTGTTTAACATGGAAATGGTGATGTGGTTAAACAGTTCTTTGAGATTTAGTGGTGTAGCAGATACCACAAGGTAACAACTTGTACAGTTGATGTCCAGGCAATCCTTGCAAATCCTGGCTGAAATATGTGCAGATGATCTGTGTAGGCACTTCAGCATTCCTGTCGTGTTTGACTTCAAATGTGAAAGATTCCAAAAGTACTCATTTGACTTTGCATTCATATGCTGGTGTTGGAATATGCAGTTCTAGTTTAGAGATGGCATTCTGCAAATGCTTTCCTCATTGACACATTCATGCTCTGGTGTTCTGCTTGTCAGCTCAGGCTTACGTTTACAAAACTGCAAACTTAATTTTTAAAATGCTCAAGCGCATTTAATGTAACTGCAAAACAGGTATTGTGACGGTTCCTTTGTATGGTTTAGATATGGCTGTAAAGTTTTAATAGAGTAGATACAAACTGTTAACAGTTAAACATGTGGTCTTTAACACGGTTTCAGAGCTGTGAGCAAGCTTTGAAGGCCTTTGTGTTAATTGGCTCTTAATACAAGATGTCAACTGAAGCTGTGTACTTTTTTGGTAGGAAGCTGTTACATGTCTGAAAATTGCTTTTAACCTGTGCCCAGGAGTAATTATTATTGCTACGTTGTTGCTAGCAAGAAATGAAGTTTTATAAACATTGTCTTCCAGAAGATGGTCAGATTAAATTATTTATTGCAGTTGATAGATGCGAGTGAACAAATTCTGAAGATGGTATATCCCACTATGCTAGTTCTATGAAGGCAATTGAATAAACTGTGTTGAACAGGACTTGAAATCAAAGCTGAAACTCTAGAACAATAGCTAAATTAAAATCAAGTTGCAAACCAGTTGAGCTTGCCTTTTGTATTGTAATAGCTGCTTAGTGAAATGTGAGCCATTCATGTGCTGAATGACTAAACTGGTGTTCCAAGCTAAAAACTACATTTGGTGTGCTTGCTAGGGATTAGATATTTTAAAGCCTTTGCTGGATATCACCAGTGAAAAAGGAATAAAGTTCAAGAACTGATGCAATGAAGAAATTTCTCACATTTTTTTCCTCCCATGGGCAAATGTGCTTTCTAGAGAAGAGTTTGGAAAGGTGTAAAGTATTTCAGAGAAGATCTGTGCTTATCAGTACAATCAGTAGAGGTCCCCACTAAATACTTAAAAGTACCGAACATGGGCTTTACTTTGCTGTTAAAATTTGAGGGGATTTTGTTCATTTGCTCATCACTTCTGTGAAAAGGTCTTGTGGTTAAAATAGTGGCAAGCATCTGAAGATGCCTGCTCGTACTCAAAAGTGGAATGAAGTTAACGTTTTTGTGGTCTCGCGATAATTTGCTTTCACTTTAGTTCATGTTCTCAGTATGCTTTCTGAAGCATGTTTTTAAAAATAGCCTTAAACTATGGGTAAGAAAGGAGGGTTTGATGAAAACATGATGAACATGCTGCGAGTCCTGGAACTGTGTGATGACAGAGTAGTGCATTCACTATCCCCACAGTAAAAGAAGCTATTTATTCCTTCAGATGATGTGCAACTGTTTCCCATCTCAAGGCTTAGCATGATCTTAAATGTACACAAGTTTGAAGCCACAGGTTAATGATGTGAGTACTACGACTCTATCTCAGGCTTTCAACACTGAAGAATACTCTGAAATTAAGCTTGTTTATGGACCTCCAGTGTGCTTCCTATTTGTTGGTTATGTAGACACACCAGTAATTGGAGGAAAATCAGTGCAGTAATGAGCAGTATGGAGTGATACTGATGTGAGATTCTCGTCCTGTGCTGCACAAAAACTAAGCACCAATATAGTCAAGCATCTGATACGAGTCCTGTATGTACTTGCTTTGTACTGCACCCTATAGCCTGAGTCAACTCACTGCTGCACCTCTGCCACTTCCCCCAGTCTGAAGGACTGTAGCAGTGTTATCTGCCTGTTTTCTCAAGGAGGCTGGGCCACAAGCCCTATTCTTTTCTTGCTCCTGCAGTGCTTTGCAACAAACCAATGTAGAGCATCTCTGTCGAGACTGGGAGGAAGGCAGGGTAGGCAAGATTGTGCCAGGATAAGGGCTTCTATCACTGTGTACTTGCCAAGCTTTTTTTTTATGTGGAGATAAAAGGTAATCTGGAGAACTTTTATGTAAGAATTCAGTCTTACCCTTATCAAAATTGATATTCAATTTTAGCAAACAAGTTCAAAATTACAGGTAATTCTCTGAACTGTAATTAAAGAATAGTTTCACACAGAGGGAACATGCCCTTTTACACTTACTACTGCTATTACTGACTGTGATACTGCTTGTGGGAAGTTAAGACTTTTTCCTACCTTACCACTGAAACTGGTAAATAATTTGCTTAGTCCCTTTCTGTCAAAGATCTGTTCCCTTAGTGAGACTCCATAGAGCATCCTATTAAAATATGTAACTACTAGTATGTTCCTAAAAGGACTTTCCTAATGGCTGTTTATGCAGTCAGGAGAACAGAAAGATTTGAGGCTTGTGGTTGATACTTGCTGCCTTACAGCATGTTCCTTCTGAAGAAGGTTACACTGAAACTTGCCCTGAATGTTGCCTGTAAGTCTTGTTGAAGCCCTGATGTGGCTACTGGGGCTCTTGCCTCCTTAACCATCTTGGGGTATGGTTTGACTTTAGATCTGAGAGAATTAGGAATATGCATCGAATATTTTTGGATGTAAAGGATGGAGTTACCATTCCATGTATACTGCAGTAACAGTATCTGCAACAGGAGAAATGCAGCCTTTAAAAAAGCTACAAAGTGGCCATCTTTGTGCCATTACTGGAATATCTTTGTGTCATTTGGGAATGATTGTGTTTAATAATTGGCTCAGGACTTGGGGAGGAAGTATTTTGTGAGGAGTACTGCTTGGAGTCACTTTTGATGTGGGTGCAATTTTCCATTCAGGTGCTTGTCTTTATAATAAGTGCATGTCCCTGGAGAGTTTAAGTTTAAGATGAGAGATGCAGTCTTTCTGTATATCTGTGTTCAGAGCATAGAGAGGGTGTGTGGTTTTTGTGCATTCCACAGATACTGCTGAAGTAAAATTATCAAGTTGACAGTGCCTTGTGTCTAAACTCAGGATGTGAACATAGTTCAAGATAATCTATTTTAACAGTTTATGAACTTATGATTCTAATAGGAAATAGTTCATGTGCAGCTGTCTGCAGAAAAAGCTTGTGACTTGTGTAGTTGGTATTGGTAGGAATTTGCCCACTTAACTGTAGCCTGCTAATGAGGTAACCAATACATCTATTGGCCCCTAAGAATACCTAGGAGGTGACAGGTGGGAGAATAAAAGGTTGCTCTGCAGTTGAATGCTTTTTTTAAAACAAGGTCTTACAGTGAAATACCAAGATTAAAATACTTATTACTTTGATTACTGCAGGCTTGACAGCTGTTCTATTTCAATGAAAAGCTGTGCAAGAGTATGTATACAGCTTAAGCTGTCTTTAGGAATTCCATATGTTTTATTTCTTAAGAATTCCTACCCTAGTGCAAAACAAGTTTTCCTCCCAGTGGTGTCTGGGCTGTTAGTAAGGTGTACTGTTAGTGCAGTGGTGGCATGGTATACTTGTGGAGGCTGTTAATTGCTGATAGGAACAAGTTCTTGATGTTCTTTATCTCTTTAAATTGCTGTTAGCCCCTTCCCAGTCAGCCTGAAACAGCAGTATTGCGCTACTGCTTGACATACTTGACTCCTGTGTTAAGAACCTGTTTTACTCTGAAGGTGAAGGCTCAGAGTAGGCCAATAATCTGCATCCAAAAGTATGGTTTTATCCAGCAAGGAAAACTTGATTCAGAGCTCATTCATTCTTTTTTTTTCTCAGAAATATGAAATAAAGGAGTAAACACAATGGTTTGGAATTTGGTTGAAAAGGACTGTTGACTATTAGTTTCATGATACACTTTAAGCATAAATTAAAATACTTCTGATAGGTTTTCCATACTGACATACCTGGGTGGCAGTTTGAATGGAAGTTACTTGCACTCTGGTGACAAGTCTGTGCTGATAAGGCACTAAACACTGCAACACAGGCATAGGAGTAGAATTTTTTTCTTTTGGCATATTCTGCTAATCAAGTATAGAACAAGTAGCTTCCTACTACTCAAGCCTGGGCAGTTTTTCACACTTCAGTAGATGTATTCTGTTTTCACTTGGTATTCTCTGAATATGTTCAGCCATTTAAGATAGATGGTGTGCTTGGGAATGAAGTGAGTAATAAGCCTACATAAGAGTGAGGACTTGGTCTCCAATGCATTTTTGGTTTGGAGTTCCAGTGGATGCAGGTCTGCTGCAGAACTTAGCTTACCAGTGATCCCCATGAATGATACTCTTGGCTTGAGTATAGGAAAGCAGTTGCCAGAGCATTTGGGGTTATCCTGACATCTTGTTATGGGAAATTATTTAGGAAATAGTAATGCAATCCACAGACTTCCCATTGAAGGGGAAATTTTGAAGAGCAGAAGCCCATGATAGCATTTTATTGAGAGCTAGTCTCTTTGGTTCCATTTTTCAGTTGGAGGTTTTGCTTCCCAGGTAAAACTTCACTCAGTTATGAAATAAGAAGTAATGTTCTCAAGTATTTCACAGTTACTAACTTTGAGGATTTTTAATTAACCGAATGTGATTAGCTGCAATACATGTACTGATAACTATTTAAATGCTCTTTTTAGGGTGGATTTTTTTGTTTCAGGTTAAGTGAGGGTGGATGTTGCTTGACTCTAGTAACAATTATATAGATTAAAGAAAAGAAATACAAGAGTTAGACTTCTGGTGAACTTGGTCGTCTTGGTACAAAGTTGTCCCAGATGTTCTTCCTTAGCTCTGCTTTAAACAATGGAAAATGTCAAATACTAAGGTCATCTTGTTTAAATAGATTATATTGAGATCAAATCCAGCATGCTAATGGACTTTCTATAGTTTTCTGTGCTTAACTTTAAAATGCCTACAGGTACAGGCCAGTATCTCTGCAAAACTTCTCCCTAACATAGCCAAGTCTCATCCTGGGTGCCGCAACCCTTTGAGTACTACTTTATGCATGCTTCTGGATCAAGCCTGATGTCTTGTATGTTTCTCAACTTGTAGGCTTATTTCCTTAATGCTACTCTAATCAGATCAAATGAACTTATCCTTTATTCCTGTAAAGGCTGAATGCATGAGCATTTAGCATATGCTTAGCTATGGTTTCTGTAGTGGAATAGTGAAGAATCAAGTGAAATTGTAATACACAAAGGTCCTGTGCAACTGTGGATTTCAGCCAGAGTACCTAAATACCAACTGTAGTACTAAGATTAACTAGGAACTATTTTGAATGGTAGGCTTTGGACTTAACATGCAATATTGTATTGTTGGTAGTATGCTGTAGTGATCCTTCACTGTTGGACTTCAGCTGCAAAATTGTTACATCTTCCTTTGCAAATGTGATTGAAATTTAAATGAGCCATTTTCCTGAAATGTCTTCATGGAACTGCACTACAGTGATACTTGTAGAAAATTCTCATTGGTCTACATAAAGCTGAGGTTTTGGCTGCCTGACCAGGAAAGAAACTTGTGAAGGTTGATACATATGCTCTTGCAAAGCCTGAGATAGTTACATACCCATGAATACTGAAGCAGGTACAAAATCAGATTTGTAGTAATGTACAAATGGGGTTACTGCAGCTCAGCATCAGGCAGTGTAAGGGAATTCTGCCTCAGCTTTCGTAAATGCTATGTCAGATGCTGGGTGTTTCTTTAATGGCGGATAAAGTATCAGTGGTGCTGGAATGATTTGAACAAATTAAGACATTACCTAATTCAATTTACAGGAAAAGTATAACAAGATATTAGAGGGGAGATAGTAAGGCTGGCAAATTTATGCAGGTGTGCTGTAGCTTCCAGAGAAAAAGAAATCCTCCAGTCCTCAGCAAAGTAGTGTGATGTCTAGGAACATTGAAAAACCTGGTAAATGCAAAGAGTGAAATAGTTCATAGTATACCTATTTTTAAGACAGACATTTGCATTTTCATCTAAACTTGAGTATCAGGAGCTAAGCTAAAGTCAGTTAATGACAGAACTGTAGAGCTGAAAAAATGTGTGGGACTTTATATGAGCATTAAGAACAAGCTGTTTTTTTAATTTGATATGCAGATTTGAGTGGTCTGTGCTGTCATGTATAGCTGCAGAAGAGTATTTCATCAGGGTTCACAAACTGGGGTGGTAGGGAAAACCCCACTTTGATTTTAAGTATCCAGTTGTATCACTGATTTCAAATTTGTTCAGATGTGCACTTAATTGTGAGGGATTTTAAGATGCATAGGATTCTCAAACTCTTTTAATAGCTTCAGGCTCATCTAAAAAGAGACTGTAGTGGGAGTCTAAGTTTTAAGTGTGTTGTTCTAGTCGACTCCTCTAAATATACTGCTTTACTGTCATACACTTTAAAAGGGAAGATCCCCAAGTATTAGTAGGAAAGATAGAGTTCAGTTTCAGGAGGCATTCTCAAGTGAGGGAAGAATTAAGGCATTTATTTGCTGGGGTGTTTAGAGAAGTGAAGAAAATCTGGATATATATTTTAGTGATGCATACAGCAGAATCTAGAACTTTGACTTTGCAGACTGACCAGTTTTCTAAGGAGAAAGATTGATGGCTGCTGGAAGAACCCTGATGGTAGAATGAACAGTGAGTGCTCTGTCCTGAAGTACAGCTATAGAGCTTTTACAGTGTCAAAGGGAGAGAGGTCTGAGTCCTGTGGTGGGATTAGGCTGATGGTTATATGGGTGTCTGAGCCAATCTAATAGCTTGCTTGGTGAAGAAAATACTGCAATACTTCATGCTTCCAACTTCAAAAGGTCCTATAGTTGTTCCAGCTCTACTGATTGGCCAACTTAGTTTGGGGCAGGTCTGAGCACAAGAGGCAGCACAAACCAGCTAGTGTAATATGCTGTAGGAAGGGAGAGATGGGAGAAGTAGGGCAGTTGTCAGTCTTGAAGCTGTATCTGTTACTGTCTGCTTGATAGCAAATTTAATGTTGGATTATACTAATCTGGTGTAGACACAAGGCTGAAGTGACAACCAAAGTAGGCTTTTGAAAGTCTGTCACTTCTTGTGAGTACTTTAAAGTTTTGGGGCTTAATTTGAAACCTTTAATTTTTTTTTGGTCAGTTTCTCTATATAATCCCTTTAATAATCTCAGTAAAGAACTGACATACTAATCTTCTACCACTATACTAAAATCTAGCACTGTAGCTTCAACTTGCACTATATGAAAATAGTTCTGTTCATTTTCTTGGAAGTAAATATTCTAAAATATTTGCTATAAGTCTTCTATAATTTCTAGAGTTAGAAAGAATTCTGTGATCCTGATTGATCAAAGAGGAATTCAGGTAATTGAGAGGTATTAGTTTTTCAGGCTGGTTTTCAATTAAATTATAAACTTGACTCTAAGTTGGACAAATAAAACACAATCGTTTATTGCTCTAGTAATTGCCAGTGACTACTGTGAAGTACATGGAGATCGAAAAGCATACTTTGAGTTAACAATGAATTTTATCTTAGTACATGTGGGATGCAGGACTTAAGGTTATCTTGTCTTGCCTAGTTAGAAGCTTGGGGTTGCTGTTTGACACTTGTCCTTGTGCAGCAGATTACACTAACAGATCTTGAGGAATACTTAGCCATTAGGAGCTCAGAATTGGATATTACTTTATTATGATACACAATTCCTGTATAAAAAGTCTTTGCCTTTCGTGTTCTCAGATCCAGCAACTCAAGAGCTGTAGTCTTGTTTGGGCTGTACTTTTTACCCAGAGTCCCAGAAAGCTTCAGTTTAACCTGTTTGTGCTCTTCTATACTTTCTTCACAGGATTGAGTGGGACAAACTTCTGGAGAATGTGCATTGTTTGATCATAAGTGTGACAAAAACTGACAAGCAGGAAGCTTATGTACTCAGGTAAGCCATTAGCTTATTCTCTTAGTCTGGAAGAGGTAAAAAAGTTAGCTGTCATACGGGATCCATTTGGCTCAGAATCCAGTCTGGGGTTAAGATTCTGCTGTTCATGACTAGAACTTGCAGGGGTCTGCTAATCACAGTACTGTGGCTTCTGTTCACTAGTGTAAATGTCTTCATAGTCATCAGTGCTTGTCTTTTTTCTTTACCTAAAAGGATTAAGGACAGAGCTATGGTGTTTCTGCACCTGATCACTGAATTTTGCCCAGGGGTAAATCAGTCTCCCCACTTAAGAGGTTTAGGATTACTTCAGCAGAATAGTGCATGTAGGTGTCACTTTTAGATCAGCAAAAACTCTTATCAGTAGATCAGCTTTAACTCCAGATAATGCAATGAAGTGGAACAACTCTTGCAGCTGAGCTAAGGACATCTGTAAAAGTGTGTAGCTTTCCTGAAATCTTGGAATTTTTGTTCAGCAGTTAGTTGTAAGGACACTACTTTTGCCATATGTTTTTCATCCTGCAGAATACTTTCATGCTTTTTCTATGTGAACTTTACAGACACATTGACATTCTCTGTTTTACTTCAGATGACAAAAACTGAAGCTTTTGTACTCTAAAAGACTGCCTTGAGGGCAAGGTTGGTTTAAGAGCAAGCTAGTCAGAGAAACTGTGCTGAAGTCTCATTTCTGCAAGCTTCATATTAAAACAAGATTTTGAAAAGATCATAACTAGTTACAACTGTATACTGGATGAAATATAACCTTGACTTTGAATTCTTAAACAGTATTCCAAACTGAGTTATTTCTGCAAGACTTTTATTACCATTGTTCAGTTACTTGGTGAGAAGATACCTGTTATATGTGTTAAGTGTTCTGGATGTAGTATCAATGCTTATCTCCAGTTCAGTGGGACTGTAGTTAAGTATCTGACTTAATAGTTTATGTATAGTTAATTCCTGCATCTTATGTGTAAGGCATATCTTACGGCTGCATCTACTCTCTCATTATGATACTTCCTGTTTCTGTGGACAGGTGCTGATTTACTGCTTCCCTAGAAGTTGCAGCCAGAAAAATTTATGAAATTCTGTTAAGGCTTTTGACTTTTTTAGTTCACTTCCTCATGGGATTTTTTTCAGCTGAGAAAGTCAGATTTCAAGTTTGACCTTGTTCTGTCTGGGTTGAGAAATTAAATAGTGTGTCTCTGTGCCCACCTCACAGCATGTTTGTATTTCTTAAATAGTTGGAGTATATGTAGTGCTTGTAGTAGCTCTTTTCTTGTAGTGTGGTAGCTGTGTAGTATCATGCTTGCACCAGGTATTTGTTTTGGGAGATCAGCTCTCAAATATTAGCTGAAATCTATTGGTTTGGTCCATTTGCCAAGCATGTTTATGTACCATATGCTGAATGTTCACTTATGCTAATGCAGTTGGTTGGGATGAGAACCAACATCTTAACCATTCTCTCCTGGCTTGTTGTGTTTATAGAGTATTAATATATTTTTAACACTTTTTTTTTTTCAGTGAGAGTAGCATGTTTGTCTCCAAGAGACGTTTCATTTTGAAGACGTGTGGTACCACCCTCTTACTGCAAGCACTGGTTCCCCTGTTGGAGCTTGCTAGGGAGTACAGTGGGTTTGACTCAATTCAGGTAAGGTGCCAAAAATTCTACTTCTTCCTTAGAATGTATAAAAAGCTTTTTACTAATACTTAAAATGAAATGATTATTAAATATTCTGAAACTTTCTTTGCCATTTAAGTATGTTTTCTGTAAGGGGAAGATTATAATGATGAGATTGCTTGCTCTGCTGCAGGATTTAGCCTTCTATTTGTCTAACTTACAGATGCTGAGTTAAGATTACTTACAGGTGGAAGACTTCCATATCTATGTTGTCACTGCTGAAGTTGCTGATGTTTTGTTGTGGAAAACAAATTTGGAAGCTGTCTTCTGGAGCTTACAGATTAAGCTAGGAGTAACCATATGCCTCTGAAATGGAAATACAGATAGCAGTGTTTTGATAATGAAGACTTAAATCCTGTGGAAGCTTATCTAGATAAATGCAAGCATTTCTTATTTTTAGATTTAAGGTGAATGCATATATTCAATATCTAAGATGCACCTTCATTTTTTCAGAGCTTCTTTTATTCACGTAAGAATTTCATGAAGCCTTCCCACCAGGAGTACCCACATAGGAATTTCCAGGAAGAAGTAGAGTTCCTTAATGAAATTTTCCCAAGTAAGTTCATGAAACCAGCAAAGTTGCACAGCCTGTGTGAATTGTTGATGAGAAGTGACAACCAGTACAATATGTACAGGCTGCCAGGCCATTCATTCAGCAGTCCTTGTGGTTCTGCAGCCAGCACAGGCTTTGGCTGCATCAAAATCAAAAGCTATAAATACTTTCTGGATTTCTGACACTAACTTGCTAAGATCAAAATTTAAATCATACTAGGCTTGATACTTGGCACCCTGCCTTAACTGAGGTCATCTTCAGACTTTCAGTCTACAGAACTAACCCTAAAAGCCTCATTAAAAATGTGGGATAGTAATTTAAAGTAATTAATACACTGAAGAAAAATGTATGTGTAAAATACAAGCTTTTCTCAGAAAAGTCACTGCACTAAAGATTGAATTTAAACATTTGATAACAATATAAAACTTTGCAAGAGTAACTTTGAATTTTAACTACTGGCAGAAAGGTTTTTTTGAAGTAACATGGAAGCTGTAGTACTTATGAGTTATTTGAAAATAAATGCTAATTGTAAAATCATTAAATAGATGCTTAAGGGTACTAGGGTTTCTTTCTCTGCCTAGCTAAAGCTTTAATTGGAACTTTCTGCTAGTAGGCTCTGAACTGGGGTGTCCAGATGACATTCCGAGGGAGCCTGTTTTTCTGATTGTTGGCTTTACGTTCCTGAAGTCAGATACCTGGTTATTTGATACAGATACGGGCTGTATCAGTGAACCTCTTGGTGTTCTGTGAAAGACTTCTAGTATCTTTAAATATGAAATGAAGCTAAACTTTTACCTAAAGGATCAGCTGTGGTACATTAACTGGAGACTTTTTGTCTTGTCTAGATGGAGCAGCTTATTGCATGGGGCGTATGAATTCTGATTGCTGGTATGTATGTGAAGACTTTGAAATCTTGGGGCTTACAGCAGAACTTTTAGCTTGGTGCTGGTAATACTACATATGATTTGTATTTTATATAGGTACCTGTACACCCTGGATTTCCCAGAGAGTCGGATATCCAATCAGCCTGATCAGACACTGGAAATTCTGATGAGTGAGCTTGACCCAGTAGTTATGGACCAGTTCTACATGAAAGACGGTGTTACTGCAAATGATGTCACTCGTGTATGTTTGCTTGAAAACTGGGCATTTTGGGGAATGGTGGAAATCAGGCAACAAAATGCTTCACTTATCATTTCATACAGGATTTGCTTTGTGGTAGGAAAGATCTTAGAAAATATCAGGCTAATGTTTTGGGGGTAAAACAGATTTAGTTCTAGAATGTTTTGGGAAACATAACTTCACATTTTCAATGACCTGAATTTAATCTATTGAAAGGCGTAGTTTGTAGTGCTTTGAGTGATTGGAAGCTTATCTTCTGAAAAACGGAGAAATGGGAATAAAACCACAGTTGACTAACTTCCATTGAAGGATAGAGATTACAAGGAGTAAGACTTAGACTGAAGATAACGAATGCCAAGTTAATGTAGATATCAAAATTAAGGTTAAATCATGGAACTGTTTGGTTATGGGGTGTGGGGTAGATTTAAGGTCTAAGCGCAACTTGGTGGCATTTGTCTCCTTTTCTCCTTTTTCCCAATGGAACAGTCCTGTGACAGGAACAAGTTTCTGACAAGTACATTGATTTCCTATGGCTTTCCATCTTAAGCTTTGATTATCATACTGTATTTGCATTGAGATTGGGCTCTATCTCAGGTACTGTGTGGGAAACCTGAATGCTTGGGATTATACTTCATTCTAGAGTATGAAATAGTATATTCTTACTCTGGAGTAAATGTAAGCAGCCTTCCTGTTGTGGATAGTGGTTGAACAGGAGTTCAATTTTTCTATTAGTTGCAGAAGAAATTATGTTTTAGAATTCTAAGCCATTCCCTTGTCTTGAAGATATGCAGCTTGGTTCTGTAGGAAGCAAAGTATCTGACTAGCATGCAACTTGTCATTCAGTCACTTACTTGGTAAGTGACAGGATGCACAGATGTTCATCCGCAGTGGTACAGATTATAAAACTGACTTGTTAATAGGAGAATTGTGGTGTCCTGTCCCCTAAATCAGTGTTCATTCTGCCTTGGACTTAAATCTAAACAAGTGTAAGGATGATGATAAACTGAGTGGTGTAATCTTCTATTTCAGATGAGTGGAATTCGTGACCTGATACCAGGTTCTGTTATTGATGCTACAATGTTCAATCCTTGTGGGTATTCAATGAATGGGATGAAATCGGATGTAAGTTTTCCACTTACTGATAATTAATGTTAAAGTAACTAGTATTTATTTGGCAGTAATACTGTGTTTAATTTTTTCCAGGGAACTTACTGGACTATTCACATCACTCCAGAACCAGAGTTTTCTTACGTTAGTTTTGAAACAAACATAAGTCAGACCTCTTATGATGACCTGATTAGAAAAGTTGTAGAGGTTTTCAAGCCAGGAAAATTTGTGACAACCCTCTTTGTTAATCAGGTGAGCTTTCTTTTATTAGCTTGTCAGCTCCTGAAATAACATGTAGACACAAACAAAACAAGGCTAGAGGTTTGTTTTTTTTTTACTGGAGTGTTAGCTGTTTCCAGTTTGCCTGTATATTTGGATGGTAGTTTCTCTGGGAAGTAAAAATACTCTTATCACTTTGGCACCTACTAAATCTTCAGAAAACTTAAGAAATACTAAGATAAGGCAGCCCAATCTCAGTATTCTAACAGCTTTCTGTGCAGTTCTGTATGGGCATGAATGCTTTGGCATTTTTCTGGATTTGGCAGCAGCTGTCAGTTGTAGAAGTGCTGCTGTTAATGGTGATGCTGCCAGCTAATCATAGAGTAGTTTGGGTTGGAAGGAACCTTTAAAGGTCATCTAGTCCAACCTTTTGCAGTGAGCAGGGTCATCTTCAACTAAATCAGATTGCTCAGAGCACCATCCAACTTGGCCTTGAATTTTTCAAGGGATGGAGCATCTCCCACCTCTCTGGGCAACCTGTTTCAGTGCTTCACCACCTTCATTGTAAAAAATATCTAGTCTAAAACTACCATTTTGTAGTTTAAAACCATTACCCCTTGTCCTATTGAAACAGGCCCTGCTAAGAGGTTTGTCCCTGTCTTATAGGCTTCTAAGTACTGAAAGACCACAGTAAGGTCTCCCCAGAGCCTTCTCTTCTCCAGGCTGAACAACCCCAACTCTTAGTCTGTCCTCATAAGAGAGGTGTTCCAGTCCCCATAGTGGTTCATAGAAAAGCAATACCATACTTGGGGAGCAGAATCCTTGCTTGGGATTGAAACTTCCCACAGCACTGTCAGGCATGGGTTTGAAGTATGTTTGTAACAGTATCACAGGAATCACACAAAATACATACTGTGCTAGTAATCTCTAAATGCAAAGTTTAAAAAAGTAACTTTCACTTTTTTGTTTTCTAGAGCTCTAAATGTCGTACAGTGTTTTCTTCTGCCCAGAAGATTGAGGGGTTTAAACGTCTTGATCACCAGATTGCCCAATTCAGTGATTATAATTTTGTTTTTACCAGTTTTACAAAAAATCGCCAGCAACAGCACAGTTGATTAAGAATGAAGAAAAAGCGCAAAAAGAAATCCCATATAGAAGGTGGTGGTTGCTTTCTAGTTAATGATTCAGGGGGCCATGCTTTCCACTCCCACCACCTTGTAGTTGTGGAAAGCCCTAGGTGTAATCATAGTATAACCATTTTGAATTGTATGCATTATTATATCAAGGAGTTAGATATCTTGCATGAATGCTCTCTTCTGTGTTTAGGTACTCTATGCCACTCTTGCTGTGAAATTGAAGTGCATGTAGAAAAATCTTACTGTATGAAACTTTCCAACACTTGTAAAAATGATTCAGGTAGAATTACACACAGTATAGTTTTTCTCCAGGTATCACCAAAAATTCCCCACAGACAAGGCTTTCGTCCTCACTAGACTTTAGCCTCAACCTACTCACTGGGGACAGTTCTCTGTTAAATTGTCACTCTGTGTTGTGATTTCAGTCTAAAACAGTTTTTGACAAACTTTTATGATTTCTAATGAAACTGATTCCTAATTAACACTTTCATGTTTGGAGAAAGTTCTTAAAACAGTTACAAATTGTTTTGCTACTACAGGTGGTGGTTGATTTGTTTTTAAATCAGACTGATGTTTCATGCTCTAATAAAGCTTATAGGAATTTGCTCAGCTATACTGTAGCAGTGGGCTAATGCATTGGTCTTTCACCTTTAGGAACTTGGGTATAGGTACTAATGCAGGTTAAATTTCATCTTACCTTAATGCTCATTTATCTGTCCACATTCCCAAGCTGTCACACTGCTACATGATGGCAGAATTTGAAGAAGGTCCAAGTCTTGACAGGGGAAGAGCTGAGTCAGGATGAAAATGCTTTGCCATGGTTGTGTGGCAGCTTTGCAGAGTGCTAGTTCATAATGGCACCAGACATTCTCTTTCCTAATCACCAGTTATGTCAGACTAAGAAGCTGGTGCTCTTGAGCCCTGGCAGGTAGATCCAGTGAAGGAGTGGAATTTGCCAGTCTGGGTGTGTTGATTGGTTTGGATTATTCTCAGTAAAACCTGTGATCTACCACTTCTAACTGTAAAGAGTGCTTCTAAACTGGTCCAGTGTCAATTCATTTTGTTGTTCTGAGCAAAGCTAATGCCTCTATCTTGTGACAGTCCTGTGACATTGTTGTGCATGTGACTTCTGTTGTATTTGAGTGTTGTGACTTCATCTGTTTTTTCCTCCTAATTACTTAAGGTGGTTCCTCTTACTGTGACTTGAGGGCATTAAGTGAAGGCATAGAACAAGAACTGTCTGGGACACCTGGACAGAAGTGAAGTAGAATGCTATTCATAGGGCATGAATAAGTGTGTAATTCAAAGTCACTTTAATGGGTATTGACTAAAATGCAGGCTTTAAAGAGCTGGCACATGTTCAGCTATGTTTGCAAATACTGGGATTTTAACAGCTGTGAGACCAGCATATTAACTCTGAAATTGAGATTTTTTTTTTTTCCCCTCTTGTCCTTGCAGTGTTTTGACTCTGGTTTGACACAGTGTTTTTTTGTTCCTTCTGTATTTATAAATGAAGCACTTTTTCAGTGCTTCTAAACTAAAGTCTGCTTGGTTAGAAATCAAGTGGTTGGAACATTTTTTAATTTTAAGCATATTGTTGATGTTCTTTACCAATGTTATCAATTACATGCTGTAAATGGCACTAATGCTTTTTGGTGTTAATACTGAGGACCAATATTTCAGTGGTTTTTTGTTCTTGAACGTTGTCCCAACTGACTTGACATTTGTTGGCTTGAGGTCCTTTAAGTAGACTGAAGATCCCTTTTCAAGTAATACTGAAATACACAATTTACAAATAGAAGCTTAAGCCTTGGCTATAAAAATGAAAGCTGTTGAATGGATTACTGAACTATCTAGGGTGATCAGGATGGGGGGAGTATGGTGTTTATAATTTCTGTGGTGTTAGACTTTGATCATTTAAAAATATCTGTACCACAACTTAATGCTTCAATAAAAGTTCGCTTAAATTGTTTGTAGTGATGATCCAGCAATTCTACCCTTCATGCTCTTCATGCTTTTTGATACCAATGGTTTAATTCTGAAAGATTTGTTTCTTGTCCTAAATTACCTTACTTTGCCCTTGTAGGGGGTGCATCTCAAATGTTAACATGCTGGTAGTTTAATATGAGATGGCATGTCAAAGGAAGCCAAATGAAAATGTTATGCTGTTCTTAAGGCTACACATTTGTCTAAATGAACATACACAGCTTTGAGATTTGCTGTCTTCCTCTAACCTGTCTTTTTTTCCTTCAGCACTAAGTATTTTAAATATTCCTCTGAATTAAGACAACTTTCAGGTTTTACATAACAAACCCTGGCATACATTTATGGTACTTAAGCTTAGACTGACTTTGAGAGTTCAAGGTGAAGTTTGTCTCAAGATAAAGTAGGCATGTACTTAATCTGGATGGTAAGCTAGATCAGAAGCTAGTGGCTAGGAATGTCACTGCTAAGCAGATGCAGTGAACATAAACTTCCTTAGTTCTATGTGATCAGTCCTACAGGAACAGCAGCTGCAGTTGAACTGTAACTGTGAAGCTCTAACAGTGCTGACATCCCACAAAGTCACCTAAGTAGGGAAAACTTGTGTTAGTGTTGAAGACATAATACATTTAAATTGTTCATGTCTCAATACAGGTTTCATTAGTCACCCAGAACCTATTCTGTCATGCTATACTTCTCGAATTGTGCTTTGGGTATTAAATAGTAACTTGTCCTAGTTATTTCAAGTACTTGACTTGGGCATTTTCAACAATGTCAGTCTTCTATGAAAAGAAGAAATTCCAAGAGATTTTGTCTGACGGTCTCAGCTATGACAAGTTAGCAGTAACCTACCTCTGAAGAACTGCTTTCTAGACTTGCCTCCAAAAAACTGAAGATTCATTGTAATTTTTTGTTGTATTTTAACTGGCTTTGAAGTTGGCAGGTTTCCTGTAAAATTACTTGTCATCTTCTCACTTTTCACCTCAGGAGTGTTCTTAATAATACTTTTCACTAGCCTTTCTCTCTTAAATGGTGCTGATAACTGCAGGAGAATATGGTATCTACATAGTTCTATCCATTATAGCAGCACAAATTCAAAGCTTGCTGTAGTCATTAGCTGTGTTAGATGCTTGTATTTCTTGTAAACCAGGGGAGGAAACAGAACTGGCTGCAAGTCCACATGGCCACTTAATTTCTGTGAATAAATCAGTGAAATAACCACTGTAAAGGGGTAGGAAAGGCTTTCTGTAGATATCTACTGTCAGATGAATCCCATCCTGTCTTGTGGGTTTGTGGTCCAATTTAACAGTCCCTAACTTGATGCCAACTCTGCTACAGTGAGCACATCTATTCCACTAACTACTACTATGAACAGAGACCTGTGTGGTCTGAGAGGAGGCTGCCTTAGTGAAGACTGAGGTTCAGGAGGTATATCAGTTTGTTTTCTGGTCTTAGGTCACCTGCTTGATTCATCAGTTTTAAGTGACCTTGGCTGGTTTAGTTTTGTCTCTGTGCCTAGTAAATGCTTTCTATTTCCCCTTGGTAGCCTGTCCTTCCTTCTGTTTCTTGTGGACTTTTTCTGTATTTGAGCTTAGTCTGGAGTGGTGAGTGCTGGGGTCACAGTTCTTTCAGAAAAAGGAGAGGAGTTCAAAGCTCTATAAGCTAATTGAAAGTCTGAGGAAGGAAGATAATGTTCGTAGTTGCAAAGCTGGAGGGTCTCATTTTAGACTCTGTGGGGATGGGCAGACTGTAGCTAGCATGATTAGTGCAGGCAAGAGGGCAAGGTGGTTTGTGTCTGGACCCCCCTATGTAGGTTCAACACAGGGTAGAAATAGAGCTGCTGGCACCAGTGCTGGTGTTCAAGCCATTTGAGTAGGCCTTAAAAGCCACCGAGTTCCAGCCCTAGGACTCTGCCCTAATATACTGATGCTAAAGATGAATCTGCTGGCACTGGGATCTGAGTGCAGGATTATTCTAGGAACAGGTACTGGCTGGCTGTCTCACTGCTGCTTTGGTGGTGCAGGATTACATGCTGGCAGAGGAGTCTTGATGCTTCTCAACTGGAGTGGTATAAACTCAAGTTTCCCTAGTGATAGTCCTAAAAGCAACTCCACTAATAAGGCTTGGAAACAATGCTGAGGATGTGTTCCAGAAGTGTGGAGTACTCCCTCCCAAGCTGTACAGCCAAAACTGAGTTAGAGGTGGAAAAAATTTGCTTCCAAACACATGATGGTAAATCTGAAGCCTGTTGAAATGTTAAAGTAGAGCCTGTGGCCAAAAGCTAGAAAGAGCAGGTCCTTCAGTGCTGACCTGTTAAGCACCCATGCAACTACAGTAATGACAATTCAGTATAAAATGTAATGAACAACTGAGGAACTGTGCTGACTCAGCTACCTGGAGCTAAGCGAACAGGATTCACATGTAAAGGAATGCAGACAATTACCTCAATGTTCTTAAATACATGTAAGTAAAAAATACTCCAACTTCAAATGCTTGCATAGCTGTGCTGTGAATGTACCTACAGCCCAGGACTTGGAAGAGAGTGCTCTCATTAGAGAGCTGCTGAGACAGGCATTTCCTGACAATTTGTTCCATTTGACTTTCAGTTACACAGTTAACTTCAGGTTAAGTTACACTTTCACTTCATCCTGCTTCATTTCATGCTGTGGTATTACTGGTGGTGTAGTCCATGGGGTATTCTGCATACTGCTTATGGTTCAGACAGGCCTCTGCTTTTTGGGGGAGATTGGACTAGGGGAAAAATTGCTTATAGTATTTGCTGTTGGTGTACTTCATACCCACAAGCACTGCTGAAAACAAGGTTTAGCCAAATTTCAAGTTAACCTCAATTTTTTTCTATTTCTTGTTATACATAGTACTTACAATACCAGAGCTGCTGTTATGTTAAATAAAATTAAAATGAAGCAGGCCCTAGAGAGTTGCTTCTGCAGCTGCCTGACAGTCATATCTTGATACAAATTTTACATTATCTGTAATATGCTTAGTTCTGCCTTGGGTAACTGCTATTAATTTTAAATATATGCATACAAGTACAATATGTGAAATCACATTTCAGAACAAATTCAGACACATGAATACCATAATCTCATCATTTTTCATTCCTGGATTAGCCAGAACATGAAACCACAATTCTGCTATTACTTCGTTCCCAATGTGCATGCTTTACCTAATCCCTAACTTTAAATGATGTAATTTATAGCATTGCTGTTATCTTCCCCACATTCTTTTTCTAGATTGAGGATTATATTGATTGTGTCAGTTCTAAATTTGTTTTAATACTTCAAAATATGCCAAGGCATCTGCCCATCTGAAGACATGCACTAGAACTGTTTAAGTCTGGAATGAGTCAGTGTGCCAGTACAAGGTTCCTGGTGCTCAGTGCAAACCCAGTTATCCCTGAGAGAAGTCAAACTGGATCTTTAGTGACCTTTTCAGATATGCTAAGGAGGGAGCAAGATGTTCTGTGACTGATACCCATTCATTTAGCAGCTCACAGGCTACTATAGTCTTAAATGCCACCTAGGACACAAAGTGCAACTTTTCCTTCCTTCCCTCCTTCTCTGCTATCCACTGAATTGTTTTGCTTGCTCTTAAAGAGTTCCAGAAACTTAATTGCAATAAACTGGAATTCAGGTACAACTATCAGACTATCTGCAATATGTAACCTAATACTGGCTGACTTGCAATGATGCTTAATTTTTAATTAGCAACATTTGAAGTTTTATATATTTAGGAAAAATTATTTTGACCTCAGAAAGCCTTAGAAATCCATCTGATTTTCAAAGTATTTCTGCACTGCTGATTTTGCTCAATTAACTGTCACATGTAATGCAATGGACTCATGTATCACCTGTTGAGTATATTTTGTGTAAATATGCAGTTGCTGGCACATCAAGGACTGTACACTCGTAAGCAGCAATGTGGGTTAGTTAATCTTTTTACTAGGGTAGTGAGAAGATTACTCCGATGCAAAACCCTAAGGCATATGCATGACAGACAAACCACACCCAGCTGTACATACCTATCTATGCTTTGTGATTCTCTGCTTCCATTTGAGCAGAAACAAAAGTGTATTGAACAGGCTCCTCAAGGTGAGCTCTGTAGTGCTGGACCTGCTTTTGAAGGCCTCACCAGCCAAAAATGGGTTCATTCTTTAAGATGTGTTATGAAAGCAGCTATCTCCTGTTCATAGCTTCTGAAATGGTTTGCTCTGAAGTGAAGCTTTCACTCTGGATACAGTGCTTAATCTCAGTGATCCAGTTTACAATACTCAATTTAGACATGACCAGTTACAAAATGAAAGTTACCTGAGCTGCTGGTAGCTTGCTTATAAAATATGCCTACTTCTAAGACACAGTAGACTGAAAATTTCAAATTCTAGAAGCTGTGTGGGAAAAGTATCTATTAGGAAAATAATGCTGCTGTTAATTTGCTCTTCAGTTTCCTACATGCTTGAGAACAACAAGTAGAAAACAAGGTGATACTCATTCCTTCAAAACCACTTATATAATTAAATATTTGTTCATTCCATGATCAGAACTTGCAGACACCTATGTGTAAACTTTATGAAGCCAAACCTTGTTCTCTATTTTAAATGAATATACTTATTAAAACTGAAAGAAACCACATTTAAACAGGTATTATGTAAAATGTTTTTTAAACTGTTGCATTTGAAGTAGCTCAGAGTACTCTCTGTGAAATCATGCACTCATTTAACTCATGTCTTATACTGCTATTGATTAAAGTGGAAGGGATGGGGCACTGAGTGGTCAACTGTAATGAATGTTTACTCTTGTAAATTCAATCCCAGGGAACTCATGGAATGTTTTAGATGAGAGCATATTTCATAATGGAATTGTAATTTGGTGCTACAGCCCTCAAAATCTCTCAAATTTCACATTAGTGTCAAAAGTAATGGTGCATTTTGAGGAAAATGATCCTTAGCAACCGTAGTTCAGAAATGTGAGGGGATTTTAAAACAAAATTCCCTAAGAATCATAGAACAGTTTGGGTTGGAAGGGACCTCAGAGATCATCTAGTCCCAGTTTTCCTGCCATGGGCAGGGATACCTTCCACTAGACCAGGTTGCTCAAAGCCCCGTCCAATCTGGCCTTGAACACTTCCATAGAGGGGGCATCAGCAGCTTCTCTGAGCAGCATATTCTGGTGCCTCACAGTAAAGAATTTCTTCCTTGTATCTAATCTAAATCTAGATTTAGTTTATATCTAATATTACCCTTTAAATCCATTGCCCCTCATCCTATCCCTATACTCCTTGATAGAGTCCTTCCCCATCTTTCCTGTAGGCCCCCTTGAAGTACTGGAAGGCTGCTATAAGGTCTCCCTGGAGCCTTCTCTTCTCCAGGCTGAACAACCCCAAATCTTCCAGCCTGTCCTTGTAATGGGGGTGTTCCAGCCCTTAACCATCTTCATGGCCTCCTCTGGACCTCATCCAACAGGTCCATGTCCTTATGTTGGGAGCCCCAGGGCTGGACACAATACTCCAGGTGGGGTCTCACAAGAGCAGAGTAGATGGGGAGAATCACCTCTTGACCTGCTGGCCACGCTTTTCTTGATGCAGCCCAGGACACAGTTGGCTTTCTGGGCTGTGAGTGCACATTGCTGGCTCATATTCAGTTTTCCATCCTAAAAAATAACAGCTTTTTGACTTAGAGAGTGAATAAACTGATAGAGTTACTATTAATTTTATTTAGCCACTTAAATGTCTACTGAATTGTAGAATAGAATATCTCAAGTTGAAGGGACCTTTAAGAATCATCAAGTCCAATTCCCAACTATTGAGCCACTAACACAGCTAAGCTACAGCATAGCTGTTATGCAATTGCATATTATATCATTCTGATAATGTTTTTTGTATTTGGTTATAACATGATGGTGTCATTTCACAATTAAAAGGAAATTGTGCAAGTGGATCAGTATATATGATCGCTGCTTTATAACTGCAGATACATTGATACAAGCCTCTACATTAGAAAGGTCCAGAGTTCTGGTTTGAGATTGCCAAGTAGCCATAGAAATTCAAGTTCTGACTCCACTGGTCTAAGTGCCACCTGTTAAATTCAATTGTCTTACTTCATGGGCAAAAATAAGGATTTGGTACTTGTTTTACACTGTTAAAAATGATACACCAGCAATGCTATACAAAAACAAGAGAAAACCAGCATAGGATTAAACAGTTGTTAGTTGCAGTTACAGGGCTAAATTCCAGCCTCTTTTGTGTGTGTATGCAGTCCTACTGTGCTCAGGAGTTACGCAGGTGTAACGAACAAGACAAAAAGTTCCAAGTCCATCTTTCTTGCTTATAAACTTAGAGCAATATGGTGCCTCTTCATCATCTGCTTCTTCCAGAAGAGGCACTGGCCTCTGTGCCTGCCAGAGGTTATTCTTTAAAACACACCATGTGACAGTTCTATCAACACACCAGTCACTGTAGCTTTACAGCCACCTCCAGTCCCTAGATTTGGATTTGTTTCTTTCAAAGAAGAACTTACTGTGTGTCTGTCAGCTCCACTAGACTCATCTTTAACAGCACATGATCAAGGTTCAAAAATATTTATCCAAATACAAGGTCAGTTTTCTAATTACGAAGTTAGCATCCAGGCTATAAAAAGGTAGAGAAAACAAGACTATACTTAACTAAGATTCTTGCTTAGCTGCACTAGTTATCTTGCAGCCAGAATCTCTTCACAGCCTAGACAGCAGTAACATACATTTTCCACACTATTTCAGGATGAAACTTAAGACTAACCAGAGGGCCTAAGCCCTTGAGGGCTATTCTCTAATGGTAGCCCCCTCCAAACTCACTGTCTTCTCTTTGTTAAAGATGTCTCTCTCCCATTTTTATTTCATTATGCTGTTCTAAAGCAAAGATAGTGCTGCTGCATTATCTGAGAAGAGAGGAAAGAATGTGTTTTTATTCAGCATTCCCAATATTGTTATAATATCCTGCAAGGCATGTATTGTAAGGAGTACTCATTGTATGTTCATTTGACTATACTTTGAGATTTGTGTTCTTTTGTATGCTGCATATTGCCTAAACCCACATTATTAGGTAGGTTATAGATAGGACACTCTGCCTAAACCATCTCTCTCATAGCCCAAATTTGCCAGTTTTACGGGTTCTTACAGACTTGTATTTTATAGACACATTCAGATATTGCAGAAGTTGGGTTTCTTTCTTGTCTGAATATCTAACATTTTATAGTTTCTAATTCTCAAATTTTACTTAGAGTGAAAACCTGATACAAAAAGTGTTGATAGAGTTGCTGATGTAAAGACCTACTTTATTTATTCCTCCAGACTGTTGTGAAATATATTACTATGGGTGGGCAAAAAACCCCAGAAAAATAAGATAAGGAAAATTACACGTTCCCCTTACAGAAGCTATATATTTTACATAGTGTGCTGTAGTGAAAGCTGGCATATATAAGAACAAGACAAAGCTACAGAGGCTTCAGGGTGTAATTGCTGAAGCTACAACTGAAGGATACTAAGCATGAAGCTGATGGGACTAGTGAAAACAAACAGCTATAGTCGTAATTGTCTGTACTCTTCTATGATCAATATTGGTTTTAATGTTAGCATTTCACTTGTTCTGTTGTGCTTTCACTGGTTTTAGGCAGATAATCAAATGTAAATTTATAGTTTTTAATATTCTAGTTTTAAGCTTGGTAAAAAGTTTATTTGCAGCTGTACTCTGTTGTTAAGTGCCATAACATAAAAAGGTGAACAATTTTTATTTGTGCCTTTCAACTCTTGCATTTAGTGTGTTGCTACATAGCAGGAATATATGTTTTTTGATTACCTGCTCTCTTAACATTGTAATCTCTTAAATACTTCATTCCTGAAATATTTAAACTATGCAGACCACCCAGAAAGGCTCAGCAGACAAGAAGTTACACACCAGTGATTTGCTCTTCAAGTCCTCATATTACTATGTCAAGCAGTAGGTAAGAAATGAATCAGCTACTGGAAGAAGCTATCTATTTTTCAGAAAGAAAATACTACAGAGCCACATAGAAATCACATGTTTAAACCAGCTTTCATAAAACTGCCCTAACACCTTTTTAAAGAATTGTAATCCTAGTTATTCCTACTACATTTGGACAACTGCTATCTCATTGATCCACTTCTCAGTTTCTTACAGTAAGAAAACTTAACTATAGGATTTTATTGTAAAAGCTGACCTATAAATTACATTTGTTTCCTCATCTTATAGATCTCCATCAGGCAAAGGCAGGAGAGCACCTCATCTATAACAAATATACTTCATTATATGCTAGAGAAACATGCTAGTATTATTTTTAAGCAAAGCACGTTATACATTTGGTTAAAATTTGTTGAAGTCTCTGTATAATTACAACCACTGCT